GACTTACCAATTAACAATGGACACTTTCATAACGCGGATGCAGGTAGGCAGCGTCTCGAATATATTACTCTAGCCATATAATGCCGAAACCACAAGCCTACTGCAGCTCTATCTCTATCGGTAGGAGGTAAAAACTCTGTGCTTCCCGTCGTCAAACGCGCCAAGCAAAGGCATACGAGAGGACCACAATCCCCTCTGGCTCCCGGCGATTGCTGTGGCGCGGTCTCGTCTCTGACAACTGTGACATTGAACTTCTTTGGCTTCTTGTGTCCAGAATGACTCCAATACTTAATCTCATCCAAGAATTTAGCCAAATGAGAGCTCCATCCCTTGAAAATATCTCTCAAATCAGACAGTGATATGTAATTGATCATGCTGTCATACACTATTATCTTCAGGGATGGGAGCTGAAGTTGGACGAGAAGCCAGTGACGACATTCCAAAACAGGGATAAACACCTGCGATCATAAGTAATAATTCATTTATTTGCGCACTTATTTATGAACACCTTTAAAAAATTTAAAAAATAAACACTAACCTTATCGACCTTCCACCATACAGGATAAAGTTTAGCTTGTCCATTGCCCAACAAAAATGATTCATCTCGTTGATTCTTCAAGTGAACTGCGTGAAAAGCCGTCGGCATTATTGTATATAACGAATTTTTTTTATTTTTCCTAAGCTTCCTTATTATTAGTAGACGTGACACCCACGCATCGATATGCTGTTTTACAAAAAAATACATATATTAGTGAATTACATTAATTTTTAAACAAATTAATCAAATCATATATAAGACAAATATAAGACTTACCTCCCCATCCAAATAGCCACTGTCTTCAACCCCTAATAGCACACCCCACCAAGACCGATCAAGCAACAAAAACATTTCATCGTTGATTTTCTGATGTCAGTGTAACACCCTTGGCTCCGCTCATGTAGATAAAAATCAACTGCGGTCTTAGCCCAAAGGGTATTATCCACAATTGTTTCCGGTAGTTGTCTCCTCTCCACTTCAGATACCGGAAGGGTACTAGCCGGTAACTCATATGAGAGCCAACTCTCATCCATCATGTCCGGAACCGGTGGGGGTTTCTCAATACTTCGATATATTACCCCATGTGAATCGGGCTCTGGAATGGTGGGAGGGACCTCTTCAACGATGACAGTGGCCTCTTGAATGGTGGGAGGGAATCTTGAGGGAGAATAGGGGCCTCTTGAACGATTGGAGGGGACTCTTGAGGGATGACCGGTGAGTCGGGCTTCTTCTTGCGGAGTCTTCGCACCATTGGGGTGAACGGAGACGTAATAGCACGTCCATGCCGTCTGATGTGTGAACTCCGTCGTGCAAGGAAAACCCGACGTAAAGAATCCACCTTATCGGGCCGCTAAAAAAAATTAATACATAAATCAGTAAATAAACAGACATGATATTAAACAAAGACAAATATGTTTCAAACTAGCATTGTATTCACCCAAGTCATTATTCTATCATAGTTCACAAAATGCTCAGATAACATTCCAGAAGTAAGCACTTATATAAACATTTAAAAGGACAACATATATAAACATTCCAGAAGAAGAATAGTTTACTTTCGCAACACGAAACTTAAAATCGCAACGCGAAAATGACTATCGCAACGCGGAAATGGCTATCGCAATGCGAAATGAAAATTGCAACGACAAAATCGCAACGCGAAACACAAATCGCATTGCGATTTTCATTTCGCGTTGCGATTTCATTTCGCATTGCGATTTTGTCGTTGCGATTTTCATTTCGCATTGCGATAGCCATTTCCGCGTTGCGATAGTCATTTTCGTGTTGCGAAAGTAAACTATTCTTCTTCTGCAAATTGAAACTTGAATGGATTGCATTACTTCAACCAAAAGACAAAAACAAAACCAAAAACAAATACTAACAAAAACAGTTTAGCAGTATTGGCAGCAACCGAATGAATTACGAGTATGAAAATCTTAAACTTACCTCGTTGCGTCGTATGCGTAGAGTATGAACCTCATTTTGCAACGATGCTACCATCTCACGTAGAGCGGCTACCTCACCGCGTAATGTAGACACCTCAACACACCATGCACCATCGTCTTTGCGTAAAGTACCGACCTCCTCACGCAAGGCATTGACCTCATCACGTAACTCCCCTAACTCATCCTGTTGAGGTGGAGGTGGAGAACAGGGAGATAAACGTCGTGGCATCTTTTCCGGTCGCCTATCTTGCGGTGATGGTGGAGAAGAGGCTCGATGATGTGACAGAATAGGTGATGGCTGTCGTTGTGGAGGTGTATAGCTGGGTCGATCAGATGATGGCTCTGGGTGAGGTGATAGCTCTGGGTGAGGTGATGGCTCCCGAAGTGGAGGCTGCTCATCAACCGTTCCATCAAAAAAACGCTTACTAGCTTGCCACCAATCAGTGGCAAGCTCAGCTTCCGTGGGTGTCAGCCTCTGTAGAGGAGTGTTGGCCTTCTAACAATATAAAAGCTCAAACAAAGTTAAACGTGTACTAGTAATAACTTGTTTATAAACATATGGTAGTATTTATGTTAACTTACATTATTTATTATCGTATACCGTAGTAAATCTTCCCATTGCAAGGTTCGTTTCCTCTTCCAGGAAATAGCCCTGAGAATTTTTGAAGTTTTATTGCATATGTCTTCATGGCGGGAAATGCCTCAAATATCAAAATCTACAAACAATATAATAACAAACATTAGTAATTGTTAAATAATTACTTATAATTTTGGAAACATTATATAAAAATTCTTACCTTAAAGGCCCAAATAAAGCCTGTCAAAGTGTATTGGAACCATCGCCATGCAAACTTTTTCGATCATACAAGGCAGACGATAACTTATTCCAGTAGCTTTCCATAAATACGAGCCCCACGGAAACATGTTCCACGCATTTAGGTCTTCTACCAATTTGATTAGATCATTTGGAATAGGTTGTTTGGCCTCTCTGCCTAAAAAGCCGGCATGCAAAAGAATTAGAAGGCATACTCAGACAACGTCGACGTCATCCATCCGAGTAAAACCATCTTTCTTATTCAATAATATCGTCAGGTCTTCCACGTGTAGATTCGGCCTCTCCAGCTCAGGAAAACCCCGGGATAACCATGATGGGCGGGTAATGTGTCTAGTGTACCGACCTACATCATCGTGTCCGAAGCGTAGACCGGTGATTAAGCAAAACTCCTCCCGTCCAAAACACGTATACACCGGTGGAAAATCAAACCATATCTCTTCATCACGACGTTGTATAGTATCTGGTAGATCCCTAGTCATGGTTTGAAGAAATAGGTGTGTCAACATCGCATCTCCACCGGGATGTTGTACTTTCAGCCATGGCCCGAAGCAAGTATCCTCAAACATTTTTCTTTGTGCAGGTGAAAGCTTCGACGCAATTGTTTTGGCCAGGCTGACTTTATTTCTTAAGGTTAATTGAGCCGAATAAAAGTTCTACAAAAACAATAAACATACTAAGTTAGATATACCAAAAACTACACTGTGAAGATATACCAAAAACAATAATAAACATAAAGAGTAGTAGTTTATTCTTCAAACTTAAAATTGCAACACTGTGAATTTCTTATTTGTCTTTGTTTTTTGGTTGAAGTAATGCAATTCATTCAAGTTTCAATTTGCAGAAGAAGAATAGTTTCTGAAAATGAAAATCGCAACACGAAAATGACTATCGCAATGAGAGAATCGCAACGCGAAACTAAAATCGCGTTGCGATTTTTATTTCGCGTTACGATTCTCGGTTGATTTAATAAGTAATCTAAGTGAAATGGTTAATCTATTATTGAAATTACTAGTAAACTTATCATCAATTTCAATATGAAAAACCTAATAATAATGCAAAAATTTCAAAAAGAAAATAATTAAAAAAACTAACCTCGTTGGGTTGATTTGGTTGATTTTCCATTTCTGATTGTGAGGTGGCTCTAAGAGATGGAGATAGACGGATTTCGCCGGAGATGGGGACGGATTTCGTCGGAGATGGGTGAGAGAGTGAGAGATGGAGATGGGACTGAGTTGTGATTTTAGGTTTTAGGTTATGAGTTGCGATTACGGGATATACTGTGGACGGTTCAGTGTTCCAATATATTAATATTCGTGTTTAGAATTTAAAAATAAAATACTTGGCCAGGATACTAATGGCGCTTTGAAAATCGCATTGCGATTATGTATTATCGCGTTGCGAAAGTCAGAATCGCGTTGCGAAAGTAAGTATCTCGTTGCGATTTTGTATTATCGCATTGCGATAGTCAGTATCGCATTGCGATTTTCCCAAATCGCGTTGCGATTTACTTATTCGCATTGCGATTTTCCCAATTCGCGTTGCGATTTACTTATTCGCATTGCGAATTGAGAAAATCGCAACGACACTGTAGACCATCGCAACGCGATTTCCAACTATCGCATTGCGAAAATACAACGCGAATTTGCGATAATAGAGATCGCGTTGCGAATTAGCGATCGCATTGCGATTTTGTTGGTCATTTTGGCAAATCCGGAAAAAATTGGTTAAAATCGTATATTATATGGGATTTTTGATCACTGAAGTTATTTTCTCTTTTGTTTTTCATGAGACCGAAGACTTTGTTTATTGTTTCTTTTAAGTACAATACCTTGAATGGCATGGGTCAATTTGATTGTTTATAAAGCAAAAGACAAGTTCAAAAATGGCTAATCACCACAAACCTGTCTACCGAACGGCCAAATCTTCAAATGTTGTCAAATACAGCTAAGCAAGTGATTTTTTATTTCATTTTTATTAAATCATTAAGTAATTAAATTAGAAAAAAGATACTAGTTTGCTTACGATTGTGTAGTTTACCTATAATTACAGACTCGAGCTACCACGCGCCTGCACTGTTCTCCTCCTTTCGCGAGCGTATACGACTGACTACCTCTTCCCCTCAACAAAAGCGAAAGGAATTCTGCCCTTTCCTTTCCTTTCTTTCCTTCCTTTCGATCGCTCTCATGGCTACTCTAGATTCCGACGTCCCGATGGTTCCCGTCGGCGAGGCTTCAAGCAGCACTTCTCCTTCCACCTCCACTAAGAAGCTCAAGCGCTTCGAGATCAAAAAGTGGAGTGCGGTTGCTCACTGGGCTTGGGGTACATCCCTACATTCTCTATCACTCCGTATTTTCCTTCTCTATATATTTTGGAAAATTATCAGTCTTAATATACTGTTAAAATAAATATTATCGATTGGTAAAAATACTGAAAACATAATTATTTTTATCGATTTATTATTATTAGACATTTTATCGAAAATATTAAAAATATTAATGTTTAGATAGAAATAATAATATTTTACATAAATTTTTATAATTTTATTATTTAAATAATAAAAAAATTAATAATAATTTTTTTAATTATATTAAAGTGTCGTACTGTAAAATTTCATATATAAATATATATATTTCCTTAAAGCTGTTTTTGGTTGATTGGATGATATTTTGTTAGATAATTGTGCGATTTGTAGGAATCGCATCATGGACCTATTTAAGTCTTGATTTCATTTTTTCAACTTTTTATTCATTTAATTGTATGAATTTTCTTCTTGGTTTGTTAATTCAAATTGTTTAATTTGGCTGTTCAGGCATTGAATGCCAAGCCAACCAAGCAAGTTCCACCAGGGAGGAATGCACTGTTGCGTGGGGTATGTTTCCTTTTTGCACTCCTTGAAACATTGCTCTCACTATTTATACTCCATGGTAATATCTTAGGCATGCTTTATTTTTGGGATTATACAATCGAGTTTGCAATGTATATATGTACCACTGAAAATATAAAGTGCTTGTTTGTTTGAATTGTGTATGGTTTTTTTTACTTTGGGGAATGGCGCTAGGCTGTTTTGTTTGAGTATGCTTTATACTGAACACAAGGATTGAGCTTTAGGGCCCATTGTTCAACTAGCTTTTGTTGCTGGTTTCATGAAGTGGAGGAGCGAATGTTCTTGTCTGGGTATAGAAGAGAAGAAATCTTGGTGATTTCCTGACGTTAGACTTAGAGTGACTGAGTCCTTGTGATTGTTCTTGTCTGAGTTTAGATGAGAACAATTTTGTCTTAAAGTTGAAGAAATAGTGCCGACACATTTTATGTTTTTGTTGAGAACATTTCAAACAACTAGATCTTCTCAGATGATAATGTGATAGATCAATTAAGTTGGCGTTATCCATTTTTCCTTTCCAATGCTTTTTTTAAAGAATCTGGACCTAGTAGTGGCATCCAGCTTCACTATTTTATATGTTATGCACTTCTGCTTTAAGATCATCTGCTTAAGCAAGTTGACACGCCTGGTGGTTTACTTCATTGCTTTTGAATTTGAAGTTTTGATGTTTAAGTAGTCTTAGTATAATGCTAATTTTTTTCCTTTTTTGGTAACCAAAGCTAATTGTTGTCCTCACTTTTTGGGTTGACTCAAGTCGTAGGATGAACTAGATTGGTTTCAATTCCTTTTATTACCATATAGTTAGCCAAAATCTCTACGTTTTACTAATATTAAATGAGAATAGAATTCCATGACTAAGTGAAGTGCTGAAAAAAAATTAGTTAAATTGCATCTTACGTTTACTTCTCTGTTCAAGTTTTCTGAAGAGTTTGGTGGATGAGTGCATAAAGACAGGACAACCGACAACCATCTTAAATGGCATTAATATTTTCTTGTCAATAATGTTGTTTTGCTCCTGGGATTTTATTATAGCTTTTCCTATAATAATTGTTTCCTATATATCTTGACCTGAACTCTTTCTTCACTATTTTATCGCATGAATTCATTTTTGACATTTAATATAAACATGTGTACAGAGAAAAGAAATGCCTGAATTCATCTTTTGACATTTTCCTTGAAACAAACACAAAAAACTAAAATATGTCTTACCCTGAATTCTTTCTTCAGCATTTAATCACTTTTGTTTATGTAGGTGTCTGCAACCATGCATTCCACTTTCACTCCATCAGCCGATGGTTGAAGACCCGTCAAGTGTGTACTTTGGGTATGCTTTGTCTCCATGTTTATGCTGGTCGGATATTTTGCCCCGTTCCATTCTTTTGACTCCATGGAACTAATTCCATAGTTTTGCTTTTGCGGATAATAGTGAATGGGAGTTCCAAAAGTATGGTCACTAGATCTTTCCAAGTGGCTACCCAGTTAAACCTACTTACCTTTCTCGATGCTGAAGAAGGTTGCTCGTATTTCTTCAGCTTTCTTTTGATTCTTGTAATTTTTTAGGAAAACATATGGCTGTATGAAATAGAATGGGAATTTGATATTCACCCTGTGCAATATGCTAAATTTTGAATGATAATTATTCCTTCTTGTGTTGATCCCAGGGATGGACCTAGGCAGCGAATGGGTGAGGCGGTCGTCCCCCTAAAAATCTAAAATTATTATATATTTCATATTTTTGTATATGTATTTTCTATTGAAATATGTTTTCGTCCCACAACAATTTATAAGTTTAAGTTCGTCCTCTAAAATTTTATAAGTTTAAGTTTGTCTCCCTTAATAAAATGTCTCCGTCCTTAGTTGATCCTCCCTTTCATGATAGCATCCTCTGTGTATAGATTTTATCATCATTCTTGAATCTTGAATTACAGTCTTTTGATCAAAGATTGTTGACTACTCTTAAGGTTCGTGCACATGTCCTTTAAGAAAGACCTGCTATGCTCATTGGGCCCTTCCTCAAATCATATGCTCATTTCCGAGTTCTTTTGGAATCCCTTAAAACCGATCTTTTTTGTCTCGATAATAATTAAAAGGCCTCTAAATTTTTTGTCGATTGAATCTTAGTTTGATTGATAGCGTCTTCGATTTCAACGTATTTACGTGTAAAAGATCACATCTACCCTTTACGACAAAATTGACAGCCGTCGGGGAATAAATGAATATTTAGTTTATCTTTCTAGTCTTATTTCTACATTTTAATGAAAAATTGATGTCATGATCTGAATTTTCACAGGTGTTGTCACTCTTAGATGTGGCTCCAGAAATTTGGTCTGATATCGCACAACAAACTATTATTTTCCTTGGCAGTACAGGGTCAAGTGATAAATTAAGGTCCATGACTTGGCTTCTTGTGAGGTATATAGTGTCATTGTCTGCACTTTGTATCCACATAATGGGTCAATATTTCTATGCATATCTGCTGCCAAGATTCTGCTCCCCCTCCCAGTTTTACCATACCAGAAAACAACACAAAATGAACAGCTCTGATATTGAAAATATGAGTGGCTTTACTCTTGGTTTTCAAGTAAAAACAAACGCTCAAAGCAATGCTGATAACTCGATGTCAATCTTAGACATGTTATTTTATGGCTATTGCTTTTTTGTTTCTTTCCATTTGGGAACGCTCAATTAGGATTTTCTACAGATAAGATACGTTGCTCAGTTTCCAGAAAGGTGACTCGAGTTCTACTTCAAACATGTAGTTGAAACTTTGGGATTTTCCACAGAGCTAATTGTCACTTTTATGACACTACGAATCTTTATTTCTCATTTGTGGGGTTCACTTGATATTATTATTGTTAGGCTCAGGATTGGAGCAGAATTTCTGTCTCAATCTCAGTTCCCACAGGCTTTTCTTTGTACACTAATCCATATGAAGGGTGCATTTCAATGGGTTAAATGGAATGTCCATATGTTATGGGTAGTTCTCCTTTACGGTATTCTTAATATACGATTAAAGAAATGTTTTATCAAAAATATTAATATTTTTTTAATATTTCCAGTAAAGTATTACCTAAAATATTATTATTTTATCGGAAATGTTAATTTCGTTACCTAATTTCTGATAGAAAAAATAATATTTTAGGTATAGCTCAATATTAATATTTCCGATAAAAAAATAATGTTTTAAGTAGCGTTTTACCAGAAATATTAAAAAAAATAATAACATTTTCAATAGTGGTTTGTCTCAACCGTAAAGTAAGACTGTCGTACCTGAGACATCCCATGTGTTATTCAATTAAACCTATAAACAAGTGCCCATTAACCCAGGGAGTTGCAGAAAAGGAATCACAATATCAAACAGAACTGACCAGTCGAATCTTAAAAGAGGTCTTGCGGAAAAGTGTTTTCGAAAGAAAAAAAAATGAAAGGGAAAGGCGTAGATATTTTGATTTGATTTGATTGTACATGTTTCTTATTCAGTCTGCAAATGTATTTTGCAGCTGCTTTCATCTCCCCTGTTCCAAGTCATATTTGGACGTAATCTACCTAACGGAATGGCCAATCAAGGACTCTTTCCCTGTTCAAAGCTTTTGTCATGTTTCAAGAGTCGAAGCCAATCAAAATAATACATGTACATACATCACATTTGGCTGTACATGTCTGGAAACTTCTTTGTTTGCAGATGGCTATTATAATCGGCCACCACATTTGCACACTGACTCGGCATATGGTATGGAATGAGACAAAGTTTAACAAAATAATACTCCACCATTCTTTGTTTCCAGGAAATTTCCTGGCAATTTCATCTTCTTTCTTTACCTTTAATGCCAGGATTTTTTTAAATATGCCTTTCCACATTAGCCATTTTTCACAGCTGGCCAAGCTCAAACATTACCATTTTCATAAAACCTCACATGCTGCAAGAATCAAGACAAAAACACAAAACGAAACGAAACCACCTTTTATTGCTCATATACTCGAGATTTAAGGATATGGATTAGAAGATAAGTTTGAAACCTGACGCAGTTTATCAAATGTATATAACATATATGCTATATACAAATCATACATAAGGTGGATTGAATTGAGATGCCGAAACATTAGAGATATCTAGTCTATGTAACGATCAATCCGATGCAGAAAAAGAGTTTGAGAAGAATTCTAATTCAGGTAGAAAGAGCTGAGAAACAACTTTCAGATCGAAACAGAGGAGGGCGCTTAAGTCCTTCAAGTCCAGGCAAGGCGCTACTAGATTTAGTCCTAAGAGCTCTGGGCGAATCCAGACTTCGACGAAGAATCCTCCCCATGGCAAAAATAGGATGTTCCGTCTCATCCGAAGGACTCCACGCCCTAAACTTCTCATAGAAACGGATGTGTCGCTCCAACGCTTCCTCCGTGGAGATGAGCGTCACGGATCTCAGGGCCTCGTCTTTGACGGCTTCGGTGCATAGGCCACAAATCCAACGGCCCTGGTAACGTTCCCGGACTCGCATGATGTAAGCGACGGTGCATTCCTCGGTGAAGCCGCATGACTCGCATTTAACGCAGTGGGTTTCGGACGGGGCAGTCAGTTTGGTTGGAGTATCTGAGCCTGAGATTGCCATTGCATGGAACCGAACATTGAATACTCTGTTTTGTTCTCTCTATGCTTTTGAAATCTTCTCTGTAACTTTTTATATGGTGAAGCGAGTGGAGATGGGGAGAGAGATTTATAGCATATGAAAAGAGACAAATCAAAACATAATGTGAAATCATTGTGGTTTCTGCGTTTGTGGGCTTTGTCATGGGTTACTACAAGTGGGCTTTTAAAATTTTGTTTTTTTACTAAATAAGGATCTTATTAATAACCACTCTATTTTTTTAGTGTTTTTATTTTGATAAGTGAACTTTTAGAATTTGTATTATAATTATCCTCATAACCATTTTTTATCCTTCTTCATTTTTAACAATTTAAAAATAATTATCACTTTATTTTGGAAATTTTGAATTTTCGTTTAATTTAAAATTTAGAGTCGCAATTGACCTTTAGTTACGTAGGTCGAATATCTAAAAATGACTTTTAACGAATAAAAAAATCATTTAAAAGATAATAAATCTTCTTATTGCCAGAAATTCGTTTTTAATAATTCGGGAGTCAATTACGCGAAAAGAAGAGTAAGCATATTTTGTTAGTTCAATTCCTCCTATGTCACGTGGCATCACACGTGGAAATGCCACATTAGCATTTAGTCTATGTGTATTTGTCACGTCAACATCTACCTTTACATATCTTGTTGAATACGTTAAACGTTGTAGAGTCAAATGTTCCAAAAAATAATACGGGTAAAATTGATAATACTATCAAACGCTTGCATTATGCCTATATATATTTATAAAATGCACGAATAAAACAAATATAATGTATAGGTACATTAACATAGTACACAAACATACTATAATATATAATTTATAAAAGCGTTTATATAGTAAAATAATAACATGCCAAATGTACGTGCTTATATTTTATGTATAACAAATTAAGGAAACTAGTCAAATTGTGGTCTTATATAGTAAAAGTAATAACATGCCAAATTGTGACCTCCCTTTCCCGTATACGAGTTATAGATGTTACATATACTCGTATAAATATTTACTATTTGAAAATTAGTAAAATTTTGTTTCTTTAAAATTTTCAAAATGTATTTCTTTATTTTAAATTAATAATCACAATAAATCATAATTTAATATTTAAATATCAATATTAAATCCAATTCAGACAGTAATTAGGCAATTTTGTACCATTTAGTATCATAAATGAAACTGTCTAATTTAAAACCAACCAATTTATATTTAAAACATAATTTAATATTATACTATTCATTTATATTACTAATAATACTTAATATTATTTATTTTAAAACATCACTAGATTTTATATTACAATCCATTATATATATATATATATATATATATATCATATCAGCTAAAACTCATTTAATATACATGTCACCAACTATTTTTTTAAATAAAAACAAAACATGTTGTCCTTACTATTTCTAGTAACGGATCTGACTTCTTGAAAATGATGTTGATGCATTACCTACTTTGTTCGCTCGTTTATACCTACATGTGAAACACTCACACGTTAAGTTTTCATTTAGTGAGACAACATAATAATAAATTAAAACAACATATAAAATAAATCATATTATATGAAAACATTACTAAATTAAATCATGCATAAAATAAAATAAATATCAAAATTCTTTACTTGAAAACGTATCAAATATGTACTCTTCTATTTTGGTTCATATCGTTGCCCATTGTACTATCATGAGAATATATGATATCGAATCTATGATTAAGTGTTCTATGCTATATGCAGTATAATTGATTGTGTCTATGTTGTATATTTAGTGCCTGTAATTGCGCCATAGATGCCCTGTGAATGTACATGTATTGTAGAACGCAACAACATTGTACCTATGAATTTCGAATACATAAATGTATCTAGTAACTATGTTGTACATAAATGTACCTCTATGTGATCGATCAATAACACTCCACCTCTTAGCATGCCAATTGTACCACTAACTCTCAAGTTTCATACAATGAGCTTATTCAAAATCATATACTATTTTGCATATAAAGTAACAATACATTCGAATAAAATCTCATAAATACCGTATTAGACATTTCGTACCCAAATAATCACATACTATGGAATAAAATAAATTAATAAAAATGTATATTTCAAAATACTATTTTAAAACCTTTTCTATAAAAATGGGTAGAGGTTGACTTATTACAAGTTTTCATCATATTATCTTAAATAAAAAGTTTAGTGCACTCACCTATTGCCTCACTAGTTTGCCTTATTGTACTTACTAAAGTCACTTTCGAACCTTGTCCTTTTCTTTACGCTCATTTTGATCTCGATATTAATCACAATCTACTCGAAAAATAATTACCCAACAGAACAATTTCGAACATATGTTAATATCTAACTAACTTATTAAACACGTATTCATATACACTCTAAAAAAATACGGTAATTAAATGTTCAATACTAATTCCTATAGCTTAATCAATTCTATTCAACTCCTGCAAAAATAACCTTCTTAGTCCTTGAAAATAATAATTCTCATCCTTAAATCACTTAACTTTTCACAATTTAACATTTAATTCACAATTATGCATTTCTTCAATTTAAACTCCATATTTTGAAACTTGTCAAATTGGTCCATACTATTCACTTTAATCCCTAACAATCATCATACTCAACCAATTCCACCATACTTCCAAATTAGTACATTAATATTGCACTTTTGCAATTTCACCACCGACTTTCCCAAAAACTTGCAATTTAATCCCTAGGAATTATTCAAAATTCCAAACCAACCCAATTCAACATTTCATCATTCCAACAATAATTTCCAGCATAGTACCTTAATTTTTCAACATTTACTTAACAATCCTTCAATTTCTCAAAACTTACAAAAAGGTCCTCTAAGCTTAACATTGATCCAAAACTTAATTCAAACCTTATTTAATCATACTTCTATCTAATCTAAACCCAAAATAAATTTGTATACAAATTTTCCTAATTTTTTCTTCATGGCTGGAACTTTTGACATTCTATCCTAATGGTCTCCAACTTTGATTCAAGCTTAATTTAATCATCTACAACACATTTCCATTCATTTCCATATCAAAAACGATCAAATTAAACAAATTTCCATAAGAATCCTACATGGCCAAACATATTCAAAAAAGTCCCCCTATGATTTTTACTCCACTTTTAAGCTAGTATACGATTTCATAACACTTCTAAGATCAAAAGATAAATTTATTTCATTGATTTATCACTTCCCATTCATCCACCTTAAAAAATCATTTCACTCTTTAAGTATGAAATCATGAAAAACTCATACCACAAGAAAGATAATTTAGTGGGGAATATTTATTATTTCACATTTTAGTCCTAATTCTAATTAAAATGACTCAAAATTGATAACAAAGCTTGATCACCTTTGTATATGGAGTGTACGATTGATGGAGGAGGAAGAGAAGAGTTTTCTTGAAATTTCTCCCAAAATATATCCTTAAAAACCATAAAAATGAATTTAAATTTTAATTTGGTCCAAAAGTCCAATTTTCCATTAATGAATCCTAGTATTTACCCCCATGTCATATTTTTATCTCCATTTTAATAACATTAAATAAATAAATAAATCACATTTTCTAATTTCCATCTTTACCCTTTCAATTTTCCAAAATTTTAATTTAACCACTTAAATTCACTATTCCACTTTAACCTGGAAAAATCCACTTAATTCCACTGATACATGTTAAATTCTACTAATTAGAAATATCAAAATAATATTACTAACTTCATACTACCATCATTCAAATTTTTGTAAACTTCTTAATTGATCCAATTATTTGAATACTTTACCGAATTTTATCACTTAATAACTCTTTACACTATTTCCGGATCGAAATTTGAATTACATAAAGAATCCATTCTTAAGGATGAACTATTTATTTATGGAATAAAAATTATTATTGGGAAAATTACCACTTTGGTCCTTGAATGTTTCCTAAATTTCTACTTTGGCTACCAAACTTTCAAATTTTACATTTTGGTCAATTGCTAAAATTTTGGGTATTACAAAAATACTTAGTTTTATCTCCTAAACTCAAATCGTAGGTTACTTTTACCTAAAACCAACTCCAAAAGCCTATATCTAACAAATAGAACTCAAAAAGTCTACATTCCTCCGCTGTGAAAACCACTGTTCGATGGTGATGTCTCCGAGATATTTATTTTCTAATCACAAGATAAAGCTTTTCATATCATGAATCTTTGATTTTAAGTCTAGAAGGTAATGTTTCATTTTTTTTCGACTCTTTTTTCTTTGTTTTTGAAGCTCATCTTATATTTTTTTATTTGGTTGATTTTCTTAATCTATTTTTTTTCAAACTGATATTTTCCCATTTTTTCTTTGGTTGCATGTGATTTTAAATCAATGGTTTCTTTTTTTTTTGTGAGGGTGGTTGGTAAAGGCATAGGACTTCGAATTTCGTCAGATTAGGTGGTTAGCTTAAAAGCGATAGTGACGTGACATCAGCGACAATGAGAAGCTTCGACGACGGTGAAAAGCCCCCTTCCTGGTGGTAGGTGTCTAACCCTAAAGTTAGGGTTAGCCAATATGTTAACATGATAGAGAATTAGGGTTTTAGTTTTGGTTTGTTTGTTTTGTGTTTAGTTTTTAGCTTGCAAATAATGTAAATAAGTAAAATATATTAATGATATTAATAATAATAACAATAATAATAATAATAATAATAATAATAATAATAGAAAGAACTCTGATGAAAATTGGTGTTAACAATTACCCCTTTTTTCCCATTTTTGTGATGACACGACTAGGGAAAGACAACAAGACAAACAATTTTTGTTCGATTCCATATTTTGTTTTAAAATTAATGTTGTTTCAAGTGAAACTGGAAAATGATCATTATTTCAAGGGAGACTGAGATCTTCATTTCAAGGGAAATATTTTCAAAGTTTTATTTCAAGGGAAATAGTTTCAAAAAAGTTAAAATTTATAAGGTCAAAAGTTGTGCTTTCAAGAAATTTTAAGTAAGACAAAATTTGTTTCATGATGAACTATGTTAATGCTTTGGGTTTCTAAGGAAACTGTCTC